TGGAGACGCTTTCAAGGCAGCTCTGCCTGGCTTTCCTAGCAGATCCTGCTTCACTGTCCTGGCCTCTTCCCCTTTGAACATTGTCTGACCCATCTTGCACAGCACATGGATGCTGTTGCATGGCTGTCTGTTATTGGACACCTGTATCAGACACTTTTGCTTGGAAGATAAACTTGTTTCTGGTTTACTTGTTTGTAATTCACTGATTGGCAAGGTGAGGTCTCCAACTCTCCCTTCTCAGTTTTCCTGCACTTTTTCTCTTCAGCTCTTTCTGTCCATAAATCTTGACAGTGTCACATACAGCTCTTACCGTGTTGCTGACACCAGGACATGTTGCCCGTGTTGGGATGGTTCATGTTATTGTTCTGCTGGATTAATAATGCAATATTAATTGGCTTTGTTTAGCAAGGGATAACCTCCTTTTTCAACGTTTTTGCAGAGGCGCTTTCCTGACTTTTCGTACATCACTCAGAATGGAAGACTGACTGACTTTCTAGACTGCGTGATTATCAGGTGAGAAAACTCAAAGGGAAGACAAGAAACTTCATACATTCTGCTTTCCCTGTGATATGTTAAACTCATAACCCAAACAACTTTCAGGGTCTTTATTCATATTTTGTTTGCTTTTTAGTTCCTCTGTGTTGTACAGTGCTTTTAAAAACCTGAAACAAGATCCAAGAACCTCAACTAAGATCCTGTGCAATATTTCCTTCATGTTTTCTGTCTTTTTGCAGCCACTTTCATTTGGACCATTGCGGAGCTTTGCCATACTTCAGTGAAATGGTTGGCTACGATGGGCCAATTTACATGACACATCCTACCAAGGCCATCTGCCCAATCCTCCTGGAGGACTACAGGAAAATCACTGTAGATAAGAAAGGGGAAACTAACTTCTTCACATCCCAAATGATCAAAGACTGTATGAAAAAAGTTGTTGCTGTTCATCTTCACCAGACAGTTCAGGTAAGTGACCATTGCTGCACACTCCTTGATCAAACCAACTGGACTGTGGTAGAAGGAAGAGCAATTTTATCTTTTTTTAAAATGTTTACACTACTGCAGCGTTTGCCTGTTCATGCAGGTGGACGAGGAGCTGGAGATCAAGGCGTATTATGCTGGCCACGTGCTGGGAGCAGCCATGTTCCAGATTAAGGTTGGATGCGAGTCTGTTGTTTACACTGTAAGTATGCACAGCAACACATATAGGGACCTACATCTTCTAATAGTTGTGTCCCTTTATGTTGAGAAAATAAATGGATTTCTCTTCTTCTATTAGGGTGATTATAATATGACTCCAGACAGACATTTAGGGTAAGTAGGAAGCTGATTTTCTATGATTTGTATGTATTTCAAACAGGAAGATTTTAGCAGCAGCTTCTGTTATCCCATAGGAGTTATTCCATAGGAATTCCGTTATTCCATTGCTTCTTTGTTTCTGTAAAGGGGGCTGGAATATTTTCTGATGCCTTTGCTAGAAAGATGAATGAAATTTTTAATTAGGAGAATGAACAGATTTGCATTGATTTCTCAAGTCAGACGTTATTGTAATCTTGTTCTTCTCTGTAGTCATATTACTCTTTTTTAAGACTGTCCAGTAGTTGGATTTAAATATTTGAAATGCTTTCTTGCCATAATATCTTCTAAATCAAGAGAGGCTTGATTACAAGCTTTAAAATTAGGAGTGATTTCATTTTTATGGGAAAATATGAAAGAGTTGTAATATTGGTGATATTTAGAATAATGTTTTAATGCATTAAAAGCAAATAACAGGTTGGAGAATTGCTTTTCAAAATATCTGGAATCAATTTCTATTTTGGCCTGAATTAATGTAAAGAAAGCATGGCCTATATATCAGGAGACTACTGTGAAAGTTCTAGGTGACCTATGGCAAATCTCTGCATTCCTAGCAGATCATAAATGTCAAATACATCTTAATTTGATAAACTTTTAAATTTTTATCTTGTTTTAGTGCTGCGTGGATTGATAAGTGTCGCCCAGATTTATTAATAAGTGAATCCACTTACGCCACAACTATCAGAGACTCCAAACGCTGCAGAGAAAGGGATTTCTTGAAGAAAGTTCATGAGACTGTAGAAAGAGGAGGGAAGGTACGGCCTGTGGGATCATCTCAGTAACAGCTTGTCCAGTCTGTGACGCTCTTGTTGGTTCTGTAGTGCTGTCTGTTACTGCTAATTAACTCAGGCCTCTGCTTGTATTTCTTGCATTGCTGCATCTGTACTTTAAAAGGCAAAATATTAGACACTTAGTGGTGTTAAATTGTTTCCTGCCAAGCGACAGTATGTAGCTGAAGAAAGCGAATTCTCATGGTATTGGTGCGGTTTAGTCCCATGTTTGTGAGATGCTTCCAGGAACTGCAATGTCCCTTCTCCATCTGGATGCTTTGATGAATGGTAAATTAAAAAGCAGCTTGCCAGAAACCTGTCTTGTCTTGAAGGGATGCAGCTAGAAAGGGAGAGTTAGTGAAGAGTGTGAAATGACACCCTCTTTGAGAATTAGCTAATTCCTTCACTGAGTACAAACTGAGGGCTTGGGCAAGTGCATAGGAGTCTGCGTGTCTGTCGTGTCAGAGCCTTTCGTTTCAAAATTGCTGAGGAACAGATCCCTTTGGGGAAAAAAAAGGGCTATCAGGAGGAATCGAGGGACTTGTTCAGGAATGACACTGCTCCAGGGCCACTCACATGCTGTTTCTGTTCAGCAGACTCACTACCTCACAGCACTATCTCATTTGCAGGTTCTTATCCCAGTTTTTGCCCTTGGACGTGCCCAGGAACTTTGCATTTTACTGGAGACCTTCTGGTAAGTCCACCTTCCTCCGTGAATATTCCTCCTTTTCAGGGTCATTCCACGCTTGTCACTTCCAAGCACTTAGGATCAGTTGTCATTTTAAAGATTTTAATGTATCTTTGCAGTGTTGTACAATTGTTTTCATGGGAGAGTGGAAAAGGAATGTAGTAGTGCAAAGTATTAAACTTCTTAATAAATAAATGCATGGTGCTACAGCCAGGATTCCCATCTGGCACTCCCGTTTATCCGGATCACTTTTTTCTACAGGGAAAGAATGAACTTGAAGGCTCCAATTTATTTTTCCACGGGACTGACAGAAAAGGCAAATCATTATTACAAACTCTTCATCACATGGACGAACCAAAAAATTCGGAAAACCTTTGTGCAGAGAAATATGTTTGAATTCAAGCACATCAAAGCATTTGACCGAGCCTATGCAGATAATCCAGGACCTATGGTAGGTGGCCATGAAAAGGTAGTAGAGAACTTGTGCAGTGGCAGGGAGCTGTTTTTGTACCCCTCTGTTGCTGGTTTAGCTAGAGAGGCAGCCTGAAAAGTCCAAGCATCATTTACACCATTAATACCAGTATGCTACCCCAAGACTTTTTTGGGGCCAGGTCATCTGAATGCATCTTTCTCTATAACTGTATTAAAGATCTTGGTGTCTTTAGTCTGGTAAAGCTAATGTGACAGAAGAAAATAAAAACAGTGTTATCTCATAATCGATACCCTTTTTCAGGATACAAACTATAGTTTTGCAGCATGTACCTGCAGAATAAAGTCAGGGGATGGATCCTTTACAGCACAATCTTTTATTGCTCATTTTGGTTTTTGATTGGGAGCCATTGGAAATAAGAATCTTGACACATCTTTTAACTCTAGGTTGTCTTTGCAACCCCTGGAATGCTTCATGCAGGACAGTCCCTTCAAATCTTCAGGAAATGGGCAGGGAATGAAAAAAACATGGTAAGGAATCCCGTTGCCCTACGTGATACTCTGTTGTTAACAACTACCCTACAC